GAATATAGCCGAGTCGGTGGTTACGACCACAGGTTTGTTTCACGACGGGGACGGCAATATCAACCCCATAAGAGTGCAGAATGGGGTTGCCCGCACGAATTGCATCGACTGCCTTGATCGAACCAATGCCGCCCAATTTGTGATCGGCAAGAGAGCGCTGGGACATCAGCTTCATGCCCTCGGCATCTTGGAGGACACGGCTATTGATTACGACACGGATGCTGTTAATCTGTTCACCCACATGTACCACGACCATGGAGACACCATCGCTGTGCAGTACGGAGGTTCTCAATTAGTCAACACGATGGAGACATATCGCAAAATCAACCAATGGACAAGCCACTCTCGCGACATGATCGAGAGCTTCAAAAGGTATTACAACAACTCCTTCCTGGATGGGCAGCGGCAGGAAGCGTACAACCTCTTCTTGGGCAACTACATCTTTTCCCAGGGGCAGCCCATGCTGTGGGATCTTGCGACCGACTACTATCTTCACCATGCAGACCCTAGGTTGTGGTCAGAGAAGACAAGAGGCGATTATATCAACTGGTTTACCCCCCAGTATCTTGAAGCAAGAAGTATACAGCCTCGGAGTGACCCACCCAGCGAGGGCAGAGACATTCCTGTTGCTTTTTTTGACGACTACTGGCTCGAGTATTATCGCCCCTCGACCCTATCGTCCTTCCTGAAGATGTTCCCTTATAAAATGAACTCGACTATCAAGTACATCCCATTCAAATCGACACAGGACGGTCGGTATGACCTTAGCCCCTTTAAAATTCGCAACGAGACCTATCCAGAAACTCAAGAGAAGAAGAAGGCGAAGAAAGAAGTGACCATAGTTGATCCGCAAAGTGCATCGAATTCGCGAGGGCCCGACACGGCTATAATATCACCGGACCGACCGTCGACCGGTACTGGCCGGGGCATTTCAATTCAGCGTTGGTTGCAACCTGCACACGATAAGGTTACGGGTCAGCAAGGCATTATGAAAGCCACGCCAGAGGAACCGTCCGTTTTGCCGAAGACCAAGCCGACGCCGCAGGAGAAGTCCAAGGCAGCGCAATGGACCTTCACAAAAGCTGTGCATCAATCTTTGAATCCCTCAGTAAGCCAGGTTGAGGCGAATGACTATGATCGATACGTCAGCCACCCCCAAAGTCTACCTCTTGTTGTTTCCGCAGAGGAACAGGCTGAGAATGATTCTGAATACCGAGATTACATTAACGGGAGTTGGCATCTTGAAAGTCATTTGCAGACAGGACCGGAAGATGACCCCACCGTCTATGCCGAGCTTTTGCGTGTAGGCGAAAATCCCCTTGACGGTGACGGAGGAAGATGCGCAGAAGAAACGATACAAAGCGTACAGGAAGTGGCTACGAGGAAAATCTTTCTTCAAGCAACAGCCAGTGGACTAAATCTGGTTCTCTGACGAGCCAAGTACTGGTTGGATGATTGCGATGCTGATAGCTTACATCTGCTTTGCCGTGTTGTCGAACAGGCCTCCCAAGACTTCATCCTTGGCCACCAGAGGTGCAACCTTCAAGTCCAGCCGTGTGCCCGTCGCTTCAACAGCAGCTGAGAGCACCTCGGCGGTGTATCGCAACTTGTCTAAAAGCTCACGGTGTGAACCATCTCCGCTATCGTCATGCAATGAAAGCCAACAGACAGCTAGTGCTCTGATGATCTCACTCTCATATGCTGATGTCGACACTCTCGGCCAACAAACTCGAACAATGAGGGCCAACCCATCCAATGTGATTGACAGTCGGGCTGGGGACTGTCCAATGAATGGATCACGGAGAGTTTCTGTATAAATCGGAATGATGTCCTTGAACAAACTGGTTAGAGAGTGTCTGGCAAGACGGCATACCTTGAACTCGTGTGAACACTACCCACCTTCAGATACGGCGAAGAGGCGAATCCTGAGTCATGGACAAGGGTGCCGAGTTGTTGCAAGAGCACATTTGTGACCAGGAGGAACTGAGAGGCATGCATATATCCACCACACACCTCGCGTATTAGCCGTGCCCGAATCCTCTGCGCAGAGGGTACAATTTTTGGGTCTTTGGCATACCGCCTCGCTAGCTCGATGACAGCCGGGTACGCGGCTTGTAGGAGCAAGACTGATTCGTCCTCCGGCGTCAGTGACGGTAAGTGTGAGAGGATCGGAGTGATAGACTGTTCCAAAATGTCGCCCAATCCCGTGTCGTATAAGAGGGAGGGAGAACATTTCTGTACAAACACCTGTGATATCTGTAGGCCGCGCGCCTTGATCCTAGCCTCTGTGTCATCCAATAGCGCCAACAATACTGGCGTGTATAATGGCCATTTCTTGCTGATGAATAGTTCCTGCCCGTTCATCAGTAGCGGCCGGCACGAATGTGGTCAAGAAATAGGCTCTACCTCTGAATTGGCCACTGTCCAGGAAAAAACGCTCAGTGCCCAAGGATGCGCGCTCTTCCAGGCCGTGGAATCCGCAGTATCATCTTTATTGAATACAGCCTCGTTTTGCTGTGCTTGGCATGGGTACTGGGATTTTCTACCCGTTGAAGTGATCCGCGCCGATTTTGACCGAGAGAACAGTGGTCGCAAGACGTCTTCGAGAATAGAAGTCAAGATGAAGTCCCGTCTATTGACTGTGTGACGAGCATTGGTGTCTAGGATGCCCTGTGCGATCTTCGCCGACACCCCGTCATACCAAGCTGCTTGGGGATCTGTAAAGGCACAGACAGCCACGAAAGTATCAAGATCAATGACGCAAAATTGGCGTGAGGAGAGTATCGAAAGCGATGAAAGAAGGTGATGGACTGCTTCTAGCCACTGTTGCGCATCTGACTCTGCAGCGTTACAGGGAACTTGGAGTAACCCCTCAAGCGAGCGGCCAGCGAAGACGCAGATCTCATTCAAGGCCTCTTGATCATCGCCCAGCCGTACACGGTGCTCCAGATCACGACGCAGAGTCGAGGCTGCATCGACCTTGAATGTATCATTAGTCGAGGGTACGTTGCAGTCAAAGTCTGGTTTACTTGCTGGGGAGCGAATGTGAGATAATTCTCTGACTAGATCGGTGAAGCTAGTCATTTGTCACATAACACGGTGGCGTAGTAATCTCTATCTGCCAGTGGCTTTGCGATGTAGCATCAGTGAGGCAGTGCCGTGGCATTGGCAATTTGTATTTTGGCCTTATAGGAGTGTGTGGCCTTGATACATGAATGCGTTTGTGAGTGCCTGGTGCTGTTGTCCCACGTGTGATGGACGCAGACGGAGCTACCGCGTTAGGGATATAACATGCTTTAGAGGGATATGGAGAACCACCAAGTATCATTTATCGATCTTCTTGTATCCAATCACTGATGAGTTCAAAACTGGAACATATCAATTTGTCACTCTGTTGAACCACCAACAAGGCAATTTAGGCTGGATGTCGGCTCAAGGCAGATTCGAGTGTGGTCAGGGTATCGGTGACTTCATGATAATCCGTCTATCCGCAACTCGTGCTTCCTCTTCCGTACCTCCTCAATGGCGCCCGTGGGATCCGTAGCTTCAGGATGTCGCAATTGCCACGCCAGGCATACCTCCAAAGCAGCACCCATCCATTTCCCTGGCTTGAGACCAAGATGCTTGCCTAAGCATTTGCCGTCTACAAGCCGCTTAATTGATGTAACATCCATCAAGCCCTCGTCAGTCAGGTGATCAAGAAACGTCTGCCAACCAGATAGCAAGTCATGACATTCTCTCGACACTGGATCCAACGTTAGCTTTCTCGACAAGAAGAACCTCACGTATGTGTTCAACCCACCCTTGTTGATATCGAAGTCCGGCAGGTGGTCCATGGCATCGAGGAGTATAGTGCTGAGGACCTGCAGCTTCCAGTGTGACTCGCGGGATTCCCATTTTCGGATGGTCATACCAAGTGTATCTCTTTGACTTCCAATCTCACGCCCAGCGCATACGTCTCTCTTGAGACCAAGGATCTCAGAATGATTACGGTGCGCCGCTGTTATCACATCGCAGAGTTTGTTGGGTACTCTTGCGCCCTCACGTGCAACCGTGGTAGCAAGTGGTAAAGATGGCCTCCCTCTGTTAAGAGCGTCGGCGCGGGGGTCGGTTAGATGCGCATAGGGCACGAGTGAAGCTAACATCCACGAATGATATACATCCTCGTCCGTACGAACTAGGACGTCATGTATGGATCCCGGTGCTTTGCTGCGCTCGAGAAGCCTCAGAAGCCCATAGGCAATATGCCATTTGGACAACATTGGATGAGGGATATCAGCACGAGCAGTATCTGTGTAGATAGCATGGTGGAGGCCCAATTCGTCAATGAGTTGAAGAGCGCGATGGGGATCATGGCCTTCGGCTCAGTTAGCACGTGCTCCTATAGATTACTGATCGGGGCCACTCACCCTTCATCATCTTCTCCAACTCTACACCCACTCGCTCCCTGCTGATTTTGATGCGCAGGGCAGCCAAGACATTTGGGTCGGCCATGACATCTCTTGCAGCTGGGTCGATGGCAAAACCGAGCCGACTGGCAAAACGAACCAGTCTGAGAACTCGAAGAGGATCATCCATAAAAGTCTGGAATGGTTCTAAAGGTGTGCGGATGAGCCGGTCACGCATATCAGCTAGGCCGCCTGTGAAATCCTCGACCCTCTCGGTGTGCAAGTTGAAGAACAGGGCGTTGACTGTCGCATCCCGCCGCAAAGCATCCTCTTCGGCTGTGCCGAAATCTATGGCAGGGTTCCGGCTGTCTTCGGCGTACGTCTCTGTGCGAAGATTGACGAAGTCGAGGTCAAGTCCAAAGACTTTTACTGTTGTGGTCTCGAGATTTTTAGATTTCTCAGGGTTGGCAGCGATGCGGTGGAGGTTACCAATATCGTCAGGCTCGATACCGTGCCGCGATGCAAGTTCGGGCACATCGCAGTATTCTCGCAGCCTCTCGCCAAAACGGAGGCCAGTCATAACATTGATGGCCACATCAATATCGTGACTAGTCGTGCCGAGAAGCTTATCACGGACCCAGCCACCAGCCCACCGCAAAATCAGTGGTTCTGGCAGTTGATCATTGATGTTGATGAATTTAGAAACATCAATGAGAAGATCCCTAAGTTGGCGTTCTCGCTCGGTGAGTTGAAGTTGGATGGTAGATGCGTCAGCCGCCATGGCATTGTTGGGTCTTAATCGTGCGGATGGTGGGAAGCGACTTGCACATGCGGATTGGGCAAGCTTTCTCTTCATGACCGAGCTGATAATTTGACGATGCTGAGGGCCTGGAAGGACCTGGGCTAGGGGCCGGAGCATGACATGTCCCTTCCTGTCTGGCCTTCTGACGCATCGTGATGCGAGTGGGCTTTGAGCCCTTTGAACAGTTCCACTCTACGTGCGCCCACCACCGACTAAGCGCACAGGTCCCGTGTCAGGGAAGGGGCTGGCACTGGGGAGTGGGCGTGTGTCTAGGTTCTAGGTACTAGGTACCTAGGTACCTAAGAGAGCCAGTACGGCTGGCTACACTGACCAGCCCAAGTACCGTTAGGGGTTGGAGCGTGGCGAACACATGTGGGTCTGCTTGATCTAGGCCCTGCTGTGGCTGACTAGTCACCAGACATTCTCGAGGGGGCTTGGGTACTACGTACTCCATGCGCGTCGTGTCTGCGCGCTCCCTACCTCGAGGAACATTACACTTCAAGATGCGCCCCCATCAACCGGCATTGGTCGGCTTGACACCCGATCATTGATAAGTCACCCTAATGGCGCGAGAGCAGCGCTAACGCCGCTGACCACTGAGCTGGGTGCTTTACTTACCTACGTCAAAGCTTAGCATGCAACACCTGCCAGGCGGGGCGAGCTTGTGGGGGAACTTGGGGGCGATAATGTATCCGCAGACAAGGCAGGTGGTGCGGGAAGCTGTCGTGTGGTGGGTCATGGGGCCACCGAAAGCTGGACGAGCTCTCGGAAACTGCCCGTGGACGCAGCTCGAAAGAGCCCAAGCTTCACTCGATATGCAAACTGTTCTATGGTGAGCGATCTGCGAGCTGGGTAAGCGGCCATCTCCCATGCACTCCCATGCACCACCCCTTCTTCCATTACTCATTTGGGAGGCAGCTCTCCCCAGCCATGTGACGTCAATCATAACGCATTGTCAGCAACCCTTCACCACATGTAGGTAGGATGAGATGCTAGTCGAACGACAGCCAGCAGCAGGGTTCCAGTGTACCTGGTACATCTCCCCAAAACACTCATGGGTCGCTGGTGCTTGTGCTCAGATACGGTAACTACATCAGCGCCATCAAGTGTGACAACTTTGTCGTGTTGTAGGTGAATCTCCAAGCATCCCTCGTGATGATGCCGACTGGACATGCCGGACGATTGAGGCGAGAAGGCCATTTGCATATTACCTGAGCGGGCTGTGTAGTACCCGCTCAGCCATGATGTCGAGTCGGGAACAGGTAGGGTCAAAAGCGTAGGTACAATGCATGACAGGTCAGGGAGGAAGGTGTGAGGTTATAGACAACCCCGCATCCGATCAGCTACAACTAAGTCCTCCCATTTAGGCGTGCTCAGGCGACTTAAATATTCCATCGTTGCCGCTCCCAACCATCCGATTCCATCCTTTAAACACCACCTCCTTACACATAACCTAGTCAATACCGTTCGCCAAGATATCATTACTACAGTAGAACATACCATCCTCACCCGTCCTCCTTGTCCTTACATCTGACTACATTCCCACTTGCACCATTGTGTAAATATCACCATGAACAGTTAGCAACCCGCCCACCATCCCGTGAACTCTGTGCGCTGCTGTGCAGCCGGCTAATCATGGCCCAATTTGCCGGAAAAAATAGATCAAGAAAGAATGGGAAGCTCATCTCCTCAAGCCATCAAGCTACAGATGGACCAGAGTGCTGTTGACTCCAGCGCTGGTAGCCCCCCAGCCCTGTCGTCATCGCCATCCGACAGACGTGCAAGCACCGATGAATGGGGTAAGGCATGACCGGCAACGGCCGCTTGGATTGCTGCTATTCACTCATTTGCTGACATGCCGGGCAGATGCCTCGAAGGTCCCCCCGAGCCGGTTCCAGAAACGCAAGGGTTCAATCTACGCAACGCCCGGCTCACGGGATGGTCACGTCGACCGAAACTATGCCAGTGGCTTCCACGAGAAACATACAGAGAAAGGTTACGGAAAGGCCGAGACCAAGCACTGAGACCCTGGCCATTGATTGATGTCACTGGTTGGCGGTTGCAGCTGCGAAGTCCGCAATGATTGTTGTTGATATGTGTATACGACCCCCCAGTATCAATTCTTGTCTCGTGTCTGCAACCCGTTGTCTGCAGCGAGCATTACCGCGCTGCAACAACGCTGCCTTGTATTTTGTCTAGTAATCAATGCCGAGTTGTGAAGGTTATCACTCGTCCGCATCATCAATATCGATGGCGTCGGGGTTGGCTGCTGTCGTATCATCTTCATGAGTTCCAGAAATCGTAGGACCATCGGTCGCAGCTACAAAGCCCGCAGGCGCCCTCGCCTGGCGTTCCAATGCAGCCATTGCATCGGCCGCATCTGCGTCTGTAGCGTCCTCCGGTCTTCGTTGGCTGCGAGCTAGGGCCTGTGATGCAATGAAGCTGACGTCTGTGTTGAACTGAGCCTGCACGCTCCTCTTGATACGAAGCATCTCCTTGAATGTGTCCTCGTTGCCATGCTGGACTTCAAACGATTCCCACTTGGTCCAGAATTCTGGGCTTGTGCGAGGGTCGCAAAATTGCGATGCGTGACCATAAATCGCCCTTGCTCGATCAATTTCTCCAAGTCGTTTTTCCATATCGGCAAATTTCATGCACATGTCTCGTGCTTCCGTGTCTGGCAACGATGATATGGCCCTTTCGTAAATAGGACGAGTTGACGGCAAGCCGGAAATTGGAGGCCGATTTGGTAATGTAGAAGTTGAACATTCCGGCGCGGTCTTCATCCGCAACAGCCCGTGTAGCTCGTTCGTATATGCGCATGGCATGTCTTGCGAGGCCCCGCTCCTCCTCCAAGTTGCCGTACATGAGGTATATCGTCTTGGCAAACTTCGGTGGACAATCCTCAACGGCTTGTTCGAAGAGGTCACGAAGACGCTCAATGCCAATCTTACGGTCGACAGCCTTGGTAAGATACATATTCCAGAGCTCGAAAGCGACCGGGTAGCTGAGAGATCAGTCCGCGTTTCATAGATCTTGAACGAATCCTTCGTAGTATTCGTGCTCCTCCAAGAGGTTTGCGTAAATTAACGACAGTTTGGGGAAGTTGCTATGCGCAACTCAAAGATTCTTTCCGTAAACCTTCCTTTGTGTCGTCCAACGAGCCAACGCTTTCAACAAGATCGACATAGAAGCTCCACAGCTTCCAGCTCTTGTGTACTCGCTGTTGAGGCGACAGTGTTTCGTCAAAGTAATCGACAGTCGACCGTTTCGGCGCCTGAACAGCTTTCGCCATGATGCGGACTGCGTCATCAAAATTGTCATTCCGCAGCTCCATCTCAGCCCATTCAATCCACATATCAGCAAGCTCCGCAACAGATCGGAAAGGCACCTTGACCGCCTTCTCTGCGATGATGCGGGCGTTGCGCATGTCGCCGCCGCGCTCATAGAATTTGGCATAGCCAGCCCAGAGTTGATGAAACGGGCCGACTGCCTTTTTCGGTTGTATGGCAGCAATAGCGGCGGTATATGTCTGGACAACTTCCTGCTTGTTATCACCCCAAAGTGCGATTCGCTTCTCCCACTCGAGGACATTGTTCGGATTTTGGCGTAGAAGTACGTCGTTTAGTAGAAACGGTCTGCGGTCCATGAGCTGTTCAAATCTCAACATCCGAATATCAAGTTCAAAGTCCGCATCCTCATCCACAACGCCTTTCGCCGCTCGATTGGAGGCAACCTCCATCAACGCCCCGATAACCGACTCTTCGAATTCGGTGTATGAGTCGAAGATTAAGGTGAAATCCCGAACAGTCATGACTGTTACGATACCTTCTTCAAATACGTCCCTTGTGCGCTCAAAGCTTCCGCGTCTGATCCAATACGTGGCCAAACCACACCATAGCTTGCCTCGTTGATCAGCGTATCGTGTGATGCCGCTTCTAATGATTCGCTCAACATCAATACCGGTTTCATGACCCGTAAGTATCTCAGTAGCATGATCAACGATTAGGTCCACCATTTCACTCCAAAGTTCAAAATGGCCTTTGCCATGCTTGCTGATAAAGCGAGTGTTGTTCAGGACGTCAATGTATGTCTTGACGGCTTCAGTATACAGGCCAACCTGAATCAATAGTTCGATGAAGTCTTCAGTATCTTCAGGATGGATCTGTATGTACCGCCGCCATATCTTTACTGCGCTGATGCCTGAGAGTGAGTCGGCAAAAGGCCTGTAAAGTCTCCAGATGCGCGAGTGTTGAGTGACAGGTAGCGCGCGTAATGCACGGTCGAAGGCATGTCGAGTGTTTGACACCAAGGGTTGTCGAAGGAGGAACTTAAGATAGAGTTCCCATATACGAGGCATCTTGTTGAGTAATACCAAAGAGCGTTCGAAAAGGGCGTTAACCTTGCGATATTCGGCAGCGAAAATAGCGGCATTCAAACGACTGACGTGTTTGACGCGGAACTCGAGATACTGTGCTCTTGGGTAAGCAGGATGTTGACTTTTATACCTTCATGTAGGCTCACCATCTTCCATAACTTATAGGACCTCGGGAGCTGCAGGCAGGCTCTTTCAAAGACGAAGGCTTGTTCATGAATCGTACCATGTTGCAGTTTGAATTGGATGTATGCCAGCCATGGCTTAGTGCTCCCACCGTTTCGGAGTATGTCTTGTTCGTAAACTGAGTCCTCATCGGCCTGGAGGAGTTTTTCTGTCAGCTAGCAAACAGACAGTGTCTAGATGAGAGACTTACCACAAGGTTCATGTCAGAGCGGACGCGACCGCCGTTGATGACCGTAAGCGCCGGCATGTTGACAGAAGTGACGGCTACGAAGCCATTGGTCGCCCTAGGTTGGTTGGAAAGTTGCAGTCCCAATTTAACTGCTGGAAGCCGCGGATCGAATACCGGAGTCACTCGTGGTCGACAAGGCGTCAATCGACGTCGCAATTTGGCGTTGCTTTGATAAGAAGGCCTCAGTTAGTCTAGTTAACCGAAGGCGCATTCGCGGTCGTCGATCCTTCGAGGGACGTGCTGTGTCGGGCAACAAACCAGGAAATGTTAAAGTGGGACAGAGCCCCGCTTAATTAAATAACATGCTTATGGCTCCCTATCAGGACTTCGATAGGCAGCCACTAGCTCAGTTGAACGGTATCTCAATCCTGCTTGAGATGGGCATCGAGGTAGGTCTGATGTCGACGGTAGTTATGTAGTAGAGTATCGTCATCCTGTACTAGAACCTCCACACCGCTGTCGCCCGACACCCGCTCGAACCTTCCCTGGCCCTGGTCTTTCGCACTGCAGCTTCTAGATTGACTCAAGGCTTGGACCCTGTGTATTTTGAGCTGCGCCATTACTCCGCCACCATCCAGCTCTCCAGTATCCTACACGAAACCTACCATCATGTCAGGTGCCGCCGTACGTATATCATGCTGCTGTTGTTGGAATTGATGTCAGCAGTGACACTGTTGCTGATATCTTTATCCACCATGACAGGATCGAGAGGCCGTATTCCCAACCCGGCAGTCGCTGGGTCTGATGAAGCGAAGCTGAAGG